CATCCTTACTTAAGGATTCTTCACTCTTCAAGTCTTCCACCCTCGTAGTAGGACTTGGATTCTCATCGTTCTCATCATCCAAACAAATTTTAGTTGGTTGGGAAGAGTGTGTGCCTACAAAAGTAGTGGAGTTTTCTAAGTCTGCTTGAGAGGAGGTGCCTCATCAAAACTACACTCTGATGCACTATCATTCTACTTGGCTTTCATAGCGTTGTCACAAATTTCTTCTTCTTCTTGTTTGGACATTCCGAAAGCTATGTGTCCAAACCCTTACCACTGATAGCATTGAAGTCCTTAACCCTTCTTATTGACACTTTTGTTGATTTTTCTTCCCACCTCTATTATCTATGTTTTCTATGGGAGCCTTAGATTTGTCAAGTGTCTTAGACACTACCACCTCGAGCCTTAAAGTGCTTCTAGAATTTCCTCACAAAAAGGCCATCTCCTTATCCCCAAAAGGTGACTTAGACTCATCTTTGTCTTCATTAATGGAACTTAAAGCAATGTCGTTTGCCTTTTTGGGTTGACGAATATTCATCTCATAAGTCAAGACCACTCAAATGGTGGTTAGAGAGTGGTGTTCACTAGAATGAAAAGGAATTCAAACTAGACCTAGGAGATCAAGATCACTCGAGCGACCATGAGACCGCTCGAGCTATCTCTAAGACTGCTCGAGCCATCAAGAGGTCAGTCCTAGTTGTTCCTCTGTTTAGCCTTTGCTCGAATATTTCTCTAAGTTTTTAGAGACTGGTCTAGCAAAGAATAGTGAACATGGGGTAGTCCCTACTTGTTTTTTAAGACTAAAACCAAGCAAAATTTTGGTATTCTTGAATGCTAAAGGTTGTTGCTCAAGAGAGATCCCCTAGTAACTCAATCTATGTTTTCAAAACACAAAAGAGGTTTAGAAAAAAATTTATTTGAATAGCACCTAGGACCTATACACTGATTAATACTGATTCCATTTTAACACTAATCATCTTAGTCTAATAAATTAAATCAAGGGTTTTTAGGTCTCTAAGTTCATTACCTTTGTCCTAAGCAAGAAGGTGTATATAAAAAATACATTTGATATTGCTTGAAGCTTGATCTTTTTTCTTCCATTTGACGATTTTAGATCTTCATTGGTGTAGCATCGTAACCATAAAATAGATTGAGATTTACTAGGGACTTCACGAAATTTGCTAATTACAAAACATGGTCTAACACTTACCTTGAAGATATAATAACATTGCTTGAATTTATTGGTTCCTAGGTTGGACTTTCTTTCCCAATCTAAAGCATTGAGGTAATACATGAAAAATCATGGTTCCTTACTTGTTTATGTGTGTGTATATACATGTATTGGAGATCTAAATGCTTTTGGAACTTATGATACGCAAGAAAGAAAGAATTGAAGAAACTTAAGGCTGCACAAAAAGCAGTGGCAGCCAAACTTCAAAACAAGGGAAAAGAAGAACTTAAAGAGGGATGCAGGGGAAGAAAACCCTCAGGCTTATGTTGACCCAGAATCACCTTTTGGTGAGAAGAAACGACTCTCTTTCCACATGGCAAAAGCTTATAGCCCAAGTGCAGTAGAAAAATTCATAAGTTTGGAATTTAATTTTGTCTTTCTGAACATTATGCAATCCGTTTTATAATTACCATTTGGGTAGTATGCATGGTGGGAGAAATCAGGGTTCTTTGTGACTGATAATAGCAGCTCCAAACCTCCATTTGTTATCGTGAGTTTCTCTCTTGACTTTTGGTGGTAGCTGCTATGATTGCAATAATATTATATTGGTTTGCTTAATGATTACTTGAAGTCATAGTAGATATTGTGGATGGTAGAAGAGTCGGATAGCCAGTTGAGTACAACTCTAGGTGTTCAAACAATAGCCAAATACTTGGGACTTTTTGTAAGTATATCTGACATCTTTTGATGGTATTGCTGCAGTAAATTTTCTTGATGATTACCATGAAAAAAAAATTGGAGATCTAAATGCTTTTGGAACCTATGATACAATTTAGACGTTAAAACCATGGATTTTCACCATTCACATGATGATTCTACAAACTCTAATTTATTGAATGCATGTTTTTATTATTCTTGCCTACAAATCTCAAATAATTGCATTAGAATCAAACATATTTGATGTATGCCATATGTACAAAAATCACGAGCTTTGACGTATTTAGCATGGGTTCTCAAACCTTAATTTATTTATTTCACATCATTTGAAACTTGGCCTTTGACTATTGGTTTTCATTGAGGAAACGTGTGTTATATCCTGATTTCATTTGGATTAACCTTGAACAAAAGCATGAATTGATATCTGTTGCCTAGGTAATATATCTATTTTTATGATTTGACGAACTTGAATGCACCTAGCGTATATTGCAGAGCGGGTAGATGTGTTTGGTTCTTTCCGGCGGACCAAGTTTCCGATTACTTGTAGTAGATGTGTTTGGTTTCTTGCGAGGTTTAAAGGGTTCCCTTTATTAGTTCACGTGAAGATTGATACTGAGGGTTAGTTGATGTGTTTGGCTCCTTGTTCTTGTAAGGTTTCAAGGGTTCCTAACACTTTTTAGGAAGGCCATGGTATCGGAAGTGGGTAGCTACTTGTGGGAATGCTATAGGGTCCTGTCACTAATCTTACCTAAAGCGAAAAAATGTTGGAAGGCTATAATAGCTCCCTAAAAATTGTTATTATTTAGTAGACAAGATGTAAATGAATTCTTCCAATGAAGACATAATACTATGTCTTAATATGCCGTATGTATTCATCTATTTATTTTTAATGAAACATTATTCATAAATTAGTGGAATTCCTCAATGATATTTTGATAGACACACACACACACATGTATATATAATGGCGTGGATTTGCCAAAGTATGAAGTATCAATTATGCTCATAAGTTCATTATGACGTAATCTCATTATTGGTAGCTAGTAACGAATAAATATTAGAATGTAAATGCACGACTTTTAGTACAAGTCATATTAATGTAGTAGCTTAATAATAATCATCTAATATATAACATTGAAGCTTATAGAACTTTATATCATGACAAAGTCTTTAAAACTTCCATGAATTGTAAAAACTAACTTGAAATCTTTAGGACTTCCAAAGTTTTTCAGGTCTTCTGTGGAATTATTTTTCAATAAGCTTACATATTGGGGAAGTGTAATACGATCGTCCTCGACACGTTATACATGTGCAATTATACTAGCACGACCTAGAAGGGAGTGAATAGGTTTTTGACACCTCTTGCGGAAACCTACACTAATTTTAGACTTATTGACCTCAATTAAAAATTTATCAATTGATCTTTGAATTAAAGCTTAATGAACCCTTTTTACATTGAACAAACCCTTAATGAATGTGTGTATGCAAAATATGTAAATTCAACAATCTCAACCAACAAACAAATCTACCATTCTTATTCCTCCAATAGCCCTTTCATCGATTCAACCAAATTGATAATGTGTAAGATTCAACAATCACATAAGTATGTCGTCTAACACATGGTGTGAATGCAAAATAAAGCAATAAAGAATCAACCATAACACAAAGCAATTTTTACTTAGAAATCCTCTAGGGGAAAACCACGGGCCCAATCTTAATCTACTTAAACTTAATCCACTATACTTAAAATTGATTATAAGATCAAAAACTTATATTTCAACCAATGTACCCATGGTTAGATGCTTTCTCCTTGAATTTAACCCGCCAAATTACCCCACTGCGAGGCCTTGAGCTATAGCTTTACTAGGGTGAATCATTTCACAATCTAACTTAGTCTCAAGCAATCTTCAAGGACTCTTTCCTAAGATCTACTTGATAATTAGCACACGCTGGTGTAGGTTTAGGTGGTTCTCTATGAGATCTCTCTTTTCTTCTTGATTTGTATTTGAAGGTTGAGATTAATCAAAGTAGAATGACCTTTGGATTCTTAAAGATCTAGGGTTTGTTATTCACTTTATATACGATGTAAGAGACAACTATTAAGTTTTGATGAGTTACTTTAGGCCGAATAGGCTTGCCCCACATATATAAGGTAATCTTAGTGTTTAAGAAAATTCAAATTCGCGAGGTATCATTGAGATATTGAAAGGTCATCAATAGAATGAAATGACGATTCAAACAAGGGCGATGATTTTATAGATATCCTTTCATAATATAAAATTAAATAATTCACTAAATGTGACGCCCCCTAATTAGTTATACTTAACATTCTTCATCCACTCGGGACGCCATCCATAAACAATATGATTTTTAGAAAGTTGTGTTTGCTCTCTAACTTGGTACACAGGAATAATCCTATCTATTAAATGATTTTCCCAAGAATAATCCTATCTATTCAATGATTTTCCAGAAAATAACCCAACGATTTACTCGACGCATTCCCACCCCAAGTCTCCTTATTCCTAATAGCGGAGCTTCTGAGAGGTTTACAGGAAGAAGGAAGAGAGAGAAATACGCCTCTTTCTCTCTTTAAATTCCTCCTCCTCCTCCTCCTCGATTTAGGACTGCCTCTCTATATGTGTATGCNGAAGAGAGAGAAATACGCCTCTTTCTCTCTTTAAATTCCTCCTCCTCCTCCTCCTCCTCCTCCTCGATTTAGGACTGCCTCTCTATATGTGTATGCTAGCTGTAATATGAGATAGATATTGTTCCTCTGTTCCTTCATACGTTTTACAGAGACAGAGGGACGGGAGAGAGGAAGAGCAAAACATTCTTTCCTCGATTGTTCTTTCATTTTCTTTCTCTAGGGTTTTCGAACACCACATCAAGAAAGCCCCCTTACCGCCAGGTAATGTATATACACCGCATACATACTCGATACAGATATAACATGTGTTTGTGCGCGCGCGTTCGTATGTTCCCTTCGGTTTATTTGTTCAATCGAAATGATCGGTGAATCTCTCTCTGACTTTCTCTCTCTCTCTCTTCTTTTTTTTTTTGGTGTAAAGTTTTGAGATTGATTGTAATTGAAATTTGAACTGAAAGAAGGAAGATGGAAAATGGAGGTGGTGGAGGATATGAAGGGAGTTTGGCGGATAAGTTTTCTGGCTTGGCTGTGATTAGTAGTGATGTCAACAACAACAAGGATGGGTTGTTTCAGGTCATGAAAGCAGTCGAAGCCGCGGAGGTCACAATCAAACAACAGGTCTTTTCATATACTCAAATCTTGCAATTTACTGCTCGATTTTATATCATTATATACCTATTCTTTTATTAATAACTTTTGGATTTGGTTCTCAAATTTGAAAACGTTATCATTAAGTGACTGGTGTGTCAGTGTACTGAAGTGAGCTTGAATTTTATTTTATTTTGACCAGAAAGTGAGCTTGAATATAGACATATAAGGTATGTAGTTTGGAGTCTGATATTAGTGTTAGACTCTAGATCAAATTGTAGCGTCATTTCTGCTACTACAATTTTCTTTCTTTCTTTATGTTTTCTTTTTAGAATTTCTGAAGTTGTATCAATTGCCTCCTCCTTAGGTGATGTGGAGTTATTTCTCAAAAAACAAAATAAAGCGGGAAGACAATCATATAAACGAGAATGGATATGAAAACAATCTATTTTTTGCAGTCAACTAATAAAGGCCCGTACAGAAATTAATTACAAGTTCTTTTCCCTTTCCGACAAAGGATACTTTTAAATTAGAAGCTGTGGCAGTTGCGGAAGCCACAATCAAACAACTGGACTTTATTATGTACTAAAATTTGGCATTTGTGCTCATTTATATCATTGTATGACTGTTCTTTCATTACAACCTTTTGGATGTTGTGCTTAGCTTTGGATTTATTAGCATTAACTGACAAGTAATATCAACATACTCGAGCATTAACATCTGCAGAGAATGAGCCTGTTTATAGACATAAGGAGCTAGTTTGTAGTCTGATACCATTAATGGACTCAAGAATCAAAGTCATACTGTTTTTTTGCCAAAACAATTTTCATGCTTTCTTTACATTTTCTTTTCTAAATTTTTTGTTATTTGATTCTCGTTTTGCTTAAATGGTGTGGAGTTATTTGACAAAGATTGGATATTAAGAGCGAAGACGGTCAAATGGATGAGGACAGATTTGAAAGCAGTCAATTATTTGTTGTCAAGTAATAAAGGCGTAAAAAAATATTAATTACAATTTTTTTTCCCTAAGCTGTCAAAAACCACAATGTATCACATTTAGTTGGGAACTACATTTCATGCTTTGAACTGGTTATTTTATGGTATTTGGTTTGTCTTAATGAAATTTTCGTCTAAAATGCTGTCATGGCTATACTAGTTATGGAGTCATAGTTTATAACTATTTGGGAGCATCCCACTGAGGAATTGGAAAATTGCATATTCATGGTAGTTTGTTTATGTGACTCCAATTTGGAACTAACAATTGTTAGAGTATTTATAAAGGGTTTCCATCATTGTGTATCTTTTATCTTAAGCTGGAAAAACTAGTTGAGCTGTAATAATATTCTCTCTTTTTTTCTTCTCATTCTCGCTCTTCTTTCCGTTATGTAATCGAACTTAACATGATATCGGAGTATGTGTTGATTCTAAACATGTTTAGAAACATGTTAGTGTTCATCTGAGAAAGAATCTGTGTTCAGTGAGGGCTGACAACCAGCAATGATTTGACTTGGTATGGTTGTTTTTGATTTCATGGTTGTTTGATAGGGTTTTCAAATTTTTGAATGTCTTCAAAAAAAGTATCGTCACAAAACTTCGATCTGGTATTTTCTAGACTTTTCTTTGAATTTGTTGCTGCAAATCCCTCCTAAAGGGTGCGATTTGGTGTCCTCTCCATACACAGCTGGATGATTCTAAGCCGTTGGGTTGATTTGTGTTGTGTTTTGGTTGATTTTCTGGTTTGGGTAAGCAGAATTTCGAGTATTTTTGGGTTAGTTCGGTTGCTGTCACTGTGTTGCTGCTGATTCTGTGCACTATTGAGTCACTGTTCACAAATTTGCAAGTCTTCTTGTGCTCTGTACATCACCGTTTGTTGCAACTGTTCATTCAGTGCATCACTGTTGGAAAATCTGTGCACTATTGAGTTACTGTTCACACCTGCTAGTCTTCTGGTGTTGTATGCATTACTGTTCGTTGTTGAATCTTCTGGAGCTGTACACTGTTCATTGCTTTGAATCACTGTTAAACAAAAATTCGATTTGGCTTGGATATTTGCTGGTTTCGGTTGCACTGTTCATGCTCAGATTTGCAGATTCTGCTTAATTTGGTTTGAGTGGAGGAGATATAGTAAATTACTGGTGTCGAAAATCTGTTAATTGCTCTATCTCGGATAACGCCTTCTTTTCTTCTGGTGGTTTGGTTTGTTGGCTTGCCGGTTTGTCACACTAATGATTTGCTGTTCATTGCTTATAATGGGGTTTGAACTTTTGTTTTCTTGCGGATTTTGATTCCTTTGGACTTTGCTGGTTGTTGGCTATTGTATTGGGCTTAGGGCATTGCATCTGGGATATTGGGTTAATTGAATTTGCACAGATTTAGTTTAGGTGATTTGATTGTTGTTGTTCGGCTTTCTTTTTGTCGCAATTATGACAAGTGGAAACTCTAACTTTTCTCAGGACATCAATGTGAAATTAACTATGATTAATGATCAGTTGCATGAGCTTCTCTCATCTTTGCAGCCTGGTGCTATCTCATTCTCTCTTTTTATAAGTTCGTTCACTTTGGGTCCCTTAGGTATATCTAGAACCACTTAGGTCTTTGACTCAGGTGCTACATGTCACATGATTGGTGATTCTTCCTTATTTGTATCTACATTTTGTCCTCCATCTATATCTCTACTTGCAACCAATGGTCCTGAAAATGTCTTTGGCTGGTGTTGGATCTATTATTTCTCCTCAACCAAGACTTCCAGATGTTTATTATACTCCACAATTTATCTTAAATTTGATTTTAGTTAATCAGTTATTTGATTCTAGATTTTTAGTGCACTTCTCTTTTTTTGGTTGTGTTGCATAGGATCCACATTCCAAAAAGGTGAATGGGACAAACAATAGAAAGGGGGGCTGTAGTATGTGTTAGGTCAATTGCATATTCCACATATTACTGCTTCTATGGTTTGTTCTTTTCATTCGATCCACAATCTTCTAGTTTTTATTTGTGACATTCTCGCATTGGTCATATTTTCCATTCTCGTTTAAAATATTTAGCCCAACTTAGAGTGTCATGATATTTTCATTTGTAGGGAAAACAAGTTGGCTAAGTTCCCTGCATTACTTTTTAATAAAAGTGTTATTAGCTCTGTTATCCTCTTTGATCTTGTTCATTCTAATGTATGAGGACCTGTTCCTATCCCCATAAAAGGAGGATCCATATATTATATCTCTTTCATTCTTGATTATATCTGTGATACTGTTGGGTGTACCTAATGAAACATCGTTCAAAATTCTTTTCTGTAGTCACTGTTTTTTATGCCATGATACGTACTCAATATTCATCTATTATTAAATTCTTTCGATGTGATGAAGGAGGAGAATGCTCATTTAATTCCTTTCGTGATTTGATAAAATCTGATGGCACTGTTTTTAAATCTTCCAGTACTGAACACACCTAAATTAAACGGTGTAGCAGAGCTTAAACACTAACATATTATGAAGACAACGTGCTCTCTCTTGCTTTTTGCCAATGTTTCAAGTTCTTTTTAGGGGGAAACAGTTATTATTATGGTTCATCGGATTAACTGTATTCCCATTGTCCTCACTTCTGGAGTCTCTTCCTTTGAAAAATTGTGCGGGAAGTCTCCTAATTATTTTTCCTTATTTGTATTTAGATGTGCCTATTTTGTTTTGCTTCCTAGTGCTTTTCGTACTAAGTTTTCTGCTTGTTCAATTTTATGTGTTTTTCTTGATTATGATGAGGGTCAAAAATGGTATCATTGCTATGATCTTATTACACATAAATTCTATGTCTATCGTCATGTTGTTTACATGGAGTATATTCCCTTCTTTGTTATCCTTCTAGTTCTTCACATTTGAAAAAAAATTGATCTCATTTACATTGATCTATTTTCAGTTGATATTGCCTCTGATGGTGATACGACTTTGTCATGTGCCTTCCTCTTCTAATTTGCTTGCCAATCATCCTCCTATGGTACATACCTATGTTTGCGGGACTCCATCTCTCTCTTCTACGGAAGAAGGGACTCCCTACCCGTTTATTGCCCGTCAATCAGGATCTGATAATGTGGATCGCGTTCCTTTCTATCTTTAGTGACCTCATTCTGGTCCAAACTGGTTTTGTTTCTCCCACTCTTATTATTCAATTAAATTTTGTTCTTTCTTAGCTTCTATCAACTCTCTCTCTAAACCAATCTCTTATAAGAAGATTGTTCTTGATCTCCTTTGAAAACAGACTGTCTATGAGGAACTTGCGGCATTACATAAAATTACCCTTTGTGTCATTACCTTCTGGCAAATGCATAGTTGATTGTAATTAAGTTTATAAAATTAACACCAAATCTGATGGTTTTGTGGAATGGAATAAGTAGTGTTATTAAAAGCGCGCCTAGGCGATCGCCAGTGAGAAGCAAGTTCAGGCGAGCTTGAAGTGTCCTAGGTGAAACGAGCATTGCTGTTTATTATGAGCCTTTAGATTTGATCAATTGGATCATAAATTGGACATGCCATAACATCTAATTGCCACTTGATCCATATATATGTCTAACCCTAAAATTTCTACAATTAAATTGATTGAGAATTGAAGGTCGTTAGCAGGGCTACCTAGATCGCGGGTTGTTTTGGTATGTGGTACGAGTACGGGTGCATGGTACGTTATTTTTTGCGGTACGCGGTACGGGAGGGATAGACTTATTCGGTACGCTAATTGGGGTCATGGTTCGTTTTGAAAACTTACTTGGTTTGTTTTGAAAACTTATTTGGTTCTTTTTTACTTTTGTAAGAAATTATATATAAGTGTGCATCTATACACACATGGTGAGTTAATATTTTATACATTTGGTAGTTTTCAATATTTTAATTCTATCGACCTAAAGAAACCTTACCAGAGTGGTTTGGTTTCTAAAACAATTTTTTACTTTTCCTAATCAACTTGGCAGTCATTATTGTGTGTCTATTGGTCACTTTTTTGGCTGAGGAGACCTAGGCGGCAGGAGCAGGCTTTTTTTAAAAACTTTCAGG